CTCACTGCGAAGTTCCATTTGACTACTTCTTAACTAGTGAATGTCTTCTGGAAGATACTTTGATTCTATGCAATAACTTGTTTCTCTTCAGACCTGGGCCCACTGATGGTAGGCTCCGTCAGTAGATCTGCCAGCAGCAACAATACCACGGTGTCTCACGGTGAATTCTACTTCCTCTTTTCTTCTTCATTAATCAATCAGAATTTTTTATAAGAATGAGCTGTTTCTCCTCATTTATTTATTTACTCAATCGTTTGTAGTACTATGGACTCATAGATATTTGTTGTATTCTTTGGGTTATAATCTCGGATTACAGTTATTTATTTGGTTGCTCAATTGTTTCAGCTCTGGCCACTGGGAGCTGCTTCACGCTGTCTCCTGCATCCTTTTGACATACCTCCATCCTTTTCTGAGCACTTCCTTATTTTCCGGCACCACAAAATGCTCCAGATTTATCTCACAATTTCCTTGCTCAGAAGGAAACTACTTCTCCAGGGAGCCCTGGTTCCTTTTATTGGACAATGGTATTTAGAAACCCAGATCTGGGCATCAGGTGTGGTCATTACTCCTGGGTGTCGTGTTTGCAGGCCATCTCACTGGACAACACTAGAAAAATGCATGTGTGCAGGCCAACTGAAATGCGCATATCTGTCATCTGTCTATCTTAACTGTGTATCTGTCTATCCGATTTATCTATCTATCTGTCATCTACTGTCTATCTATCCATTATCTATCTATCTATCATCTATCTATCTCTCCATCCGTCTATCAATCAATCATCTATCCAATGCTTATTGTTTTCAGCCATTGGAGTTGGATGCTTTGTTACGCAGCAATAGCTGACTGATACATGTGGCTAGGACTTGGCAAACTATATTTCCAGGCTCCTGGCCAGTAGGCTTCCTGGAAGGCACTGTTGGGAGGTGGGTGGGAGTGGGTGGGAAGAGGAGGGACTTCCTTTCTTTTTCCAGCTTTTTTCAGAGTCCCTTGAGTCACAGAGGATGACTCCTACTCCAGTCTCAGCTCCTTCAGGCACTCCTACCACCGGCTGTGCCAAACCCCCTGCGAGGCCGCTCCTCCCTGCTGATGGGTTCTGGGAGCCTCAGCTCTCCCTTTGTTGCCTCCAGCCCGGGGAGCAGAAGCTGCTTCCTGCTGCTCCTCATGTTGGTGCCTCAGAGCCTCGTTCTGCCCTCCCAGCCTCCAGCACCCATGGAACCCGTTCTCTGTACTGAACCACCTCTGTCTGAACAATAGATATATATATGTATGACAGGACAGTAATCAATACAGGGTGGATTTCCCAGGTCAGTCCAAGGTCCAAAGGCTGGACAAAGACCAGAGAGCAGGTGAGGGGTCTGAGCTTATCTTTGGGGTCCCCAGAGACAGAACTTCAGGAGGAGGGGCTCACAACATGTGGGATGCCCGAAAGCAGTATTTGAGGGGAAACATCGAGCACTAAACAGCTACAGAAGAAAAGAAGAAAGGTCTCACGTCAATGACCTCAGCTTCCACCTTAAGAAGTTAGAAAAGAAAAAGAAAAACAAATTAAGTCCAGAGTGAGCAGAGGAAAGGAATATCATTGATAAAATGAAGCAGAAAAAAACCCCAAAGCACTAGAGAAAACTCAGTGAATCCAAAAGCTGGTTCTTAGAGAAGATCAATAAAATTGACAAACCTCTAACCAGACCAATAGGAAAAAAGGAGAGAAGACACAAATTATCTATATTAGGAATGAGAGAGGTGACGTCACTACAAAATCTACAGATATTAGAAGGATAATAAGTGAGTATTATGGACAATTGTCTGCCAATAAACTTAGCAACTTAGACAAAAGGGACAAATTCCTGAAAGACATAATTTACCAAAGTTCACTCAAGAAGAAATAACTTGAAGAGCCCTATATATTAAAGAAATTGGGGGAAACCGGCCCCCCCCCCCCAAAACTCCCACAAAGAAAACTCCAGGCCCAGATGGCTTCACTGGTGAATTCTATCAAACATTTAAGGAAGAAAGAACACCAACTCTGCACAGACTTTTCTAGAAAAATTGAGAATGAGGGATACTTTCCAACTCTTACTCCAAGGCCAGTGTTACCTCAATGCCAAAACCACACAAAGACATTACAAGAAGAGAAAACTATGGACCAAAGTCCCTCATGAACATAGACGCAACAATCCTAAGCAAAATTTTAGCAAATTAAATTCAACAACATATGAAAATCATGACTGGATGGGATTTATTCCAGGAATGCGGGGTTGTTTTAACATTTCAAATCAGTCTAATTCACAACATGACCAGGCTAAAGAAGAAAAACCACACAATCTTCTCAACAGATGCAGGAAAAAGCATTTAACAAAATTCAACAGCCGTTTCGGGTAAAACTCTGAACAAACTAACAATGCGAGAGAACTTTCTCCACTGACCAGGGTGGCTACAAAAGCTTCAGGCTGACGGACACTGAGGGACCCAGTGCCTTTCTGCGACGCACCTGGTTTCAGGGGTCTGTTTACGTCAAAAGTGATCAAACTGACACTTATCCCACCTTCTCTATCCCAGGGGAGAACCAACCTTCTCAATCCCAGGGGAGATCCCACCTCCTCAATCCCAGGGGAGATCTCACCTTCTCAATCCTAGGCAGATCCCACCTTGTCTATCTCAGGGGAGATCCCACCTTCTCTATCCCAGGGGAGATCCCACCTTCTCAATCCTAGGCAGATCCCACCTTGTCTATCCCAGGGGAGATCCCACCTTCTCAATCCTAGGCAGATCCCACCTTGTCTATCCCAGGGGAGATCCCACCTTCTCTGTCCTAGGCAGATCCCACCTTGTCTATCTTAGGGGAGATCCCACCTTGTCTATCCCAGGGGAGATCCCACCTTCTCTATCCCAGGGGAGATCCCACCTTCTCAATCCCATGGAAGACTCCCGCCTCTTGGACCCAGGGCAGAGAGGCTGTGCTGAGCTTCCTGGGTGCCCAGATCCCTCTGATCCCCACCAGGGCAGAGGGAGCCTGGCATGGAGAATCTCTGTCCCTTTTGTCCACGGAGGGGGCCCCTTCCTGAGTTTCCCCAGGGCTCAGTGCCAGCCTGTGGAGGCCCCATGGGGAAGTGGCATAAGGGCCTGCTGGCCCGGTGGCTCTGGTTTCCTAATCCTTGCTCCTCCTGGCTTGGGCCACACACTTGGCATCCCTCATGTGCCCAGGTCCCTGGGTCCCTGCAGAGAGGACGGTCCCTGGCCTGGGGCTGGTGGCACAGCAGCACAGGATGAGGGGTTCATCCTGGGAGCAGTGGGATCAGGGCCCTCGGTCCTGGTCACCCTCTCAGACCCTGGGGGACTTCCTCCAAGATGTCCTTGCCCTGCGGGGATCCCTTGGGAACTGTCAGGCGGCGTGAGAGTCCTCTTGGCCCTGGGCGCTGTCACTGTGGCATGGAAGGTCTGTCAGCAGAGGCTCAGGCACAGCGCTCAGGGATGGGCCGGGAGGTGTCAGGCCAGGGCTCAGATCCCAGTTCACACTTACTTCTGGTCGCTGCCTCTGCATCCCATGCCCCCCATCCCCTGGGCATCCCCGTTGTCCAGGGTCTCAATAGCTGTGGAGATGAACCCCTTCCCACTCACCCCTGCCCCTGCAACTTGGGGACCAGTGGATTGGAATTCGAGGCTCCCCCCACCATCTGAACTTGCTGTCCACTCTCTTGCTGGCCAATGTCAGAAGCCAAATTCAGGATGCGTGTCTGTTTTCTGGAGGAAGAAAATATAGGGACGGGAGGGCCCCTGACCTCAGTTTACCCTCCTGGTGCACGGTGGGGCCTGCCTGTGCACTCCTGGGCTGGTCACCCTCTTGGCGGGGGGCAAGGGCTGCCTTGGCTAGTGGCTTCCAATGTTGGGGCAGGTACAAGTTCAAACGCCACACCATGATTCCTCAGGGCATTTCCAGACAGGTTTTGGGCTCAGCTCGAGGGTCTGAGATTCATCAGAGGCCACAACTCCTCTCTTTGGGGCAGGACCCTCCCACCGTGAGAGGTGTGGCCCCGGGGAGCCCAGGCAGGCTGTCCCTGCCCTCCAGCCCCATGTGGCCAGCACTCCGCTCTCCCCACACATCCTGGGGAGGCTGGGGTTGGGCAGGGCCTGTGCTGGGGGTCGGGCCGCCTCCCTACCAGCAGCAGCCCTGAGGCCTGTGCATGCCCGTGGCCATGTCTGGGACCCTTACCCCGTTCCCCACGGGATGGTCACTCGTGGCCTTGAGCCAGTTGCCCTGTGGCCCAGAGGACCGATTCCATAAAGCGTCACCTGGCTGGGTTCCCCAAGTTCTGATTACAGGTAATCCAGGGACTGGCTCAGCTTGGGGAAAGGAGGGGATTAGAGGGTGGGCTGGAGCCGGGGGCCCCTGATGGAGCTCAATAAGCTGCCAGCTGAGATGGGCTGGGAGCAGAGCCCACACTGAGATGGGGTGGCCCCCGGGACCCCACAGGAGCCCACACCCTCCCTGCCTTGGGGGGCTGGGTGCAGGGAGGGCAGGACCCCTGGTGGGGGGCGGCTGGAACCCAGGCAATCTCCCAACCAGGCTGAGCAGCTGGCGCTGCCCGAGCTCCGTGGGGCATTGGACCCGGTGTGCTGGGGGCCGTGGGGAACAGCAGCCTGCAGGACAGGCTCCTGGCAGCATCTCCCACCCTTGGGCCTGGGCCCACTTGTAGCGGGGAGGAACGAAGTTCCGAAGTTCAAGTTCCCTTGGGTGTGTGTCGGAATTGGGGTAATGGGTTTCCGTATCCTGAGGAGGGTCCCTTTTACCTAGGGAGCAATAAAAAGATAAACCTCAGATAACCTGAGTCAATATTTCCTCACGGCCCAGGGGAGGCCCCCACAGCTGTTTCTTGATAATCTGGCTAAGGCCCCACCCACCCCTCGCCCCTCCCCTGCCCTTCCGCTCTCAGACCGCCCTGCGGGGCATATAAGGCCCGGACCCCTGTCCCCTGTTGCTCTCCCACACCAGCCTCTGAGCCACCATGGGGCTGCCACTAGCCCGCCTAGTGGCCCTCTGCCTGGCCCTGACCTTGGCCAGGGGCGAGGAGCTGCGGAAAGGTGAGGGGCAGCGGGCAGCGCTATGGGCAGCACGACCTGAGGGTACAGGACATCCGGGGCAGCCCAGCGCAGACGGTCCTACCTGGGAGGAGGAGGTGATCCTCCTGTGCCAGGCTTTGGGGCAGACTGGCATCTTCTGGGGTAGATGGGCTGGGTCCAGCTTCCTGCAGCCCCCACCCCTCCTGACTTTGGGTGGAGGGAAGGAAGGAGAGAAGGAAAGAGGGAAGGAAGGAGGGAGGGAAGATGAAAGGGGATAAAGAGGAAAGGAAGAGGGAAGGAGTGAGGGAGGGAAGGAGGGAAGGAAAGATGGAGGCAGGAGAGAAGGAGGGAGGGAAGGAGGGAAAGAGGGAAAGAAGGAAGGAGAGGAGAGAAGAAAGGAGGATTAGGAGGGTAGGACAGGTGGTCTTGGGCTCCCTTCATCCCTTTGATGGCAAGCACCAGGTTGGAGTATTTCCAGGGGGCGATACCAGGTAGAAACACCTGAGCCGGGCCGTTGTCCCTGGGTGTTGGGGAGGCAGGTCCCATGGAGTCTGGGAAGACAAGGCCAAGATGGCCCCTTCTGCCGATCAGGGCGTTGGGCCGACTGCTGGAGGGGTGGCTTTAGCCAGAGAAGACTGAGAATGTAGGATGGGGACATCTCCGTCCCAGAGGGCTGTGTGAGAAAGCCACTGGGGGGGCCCTCGGCCTGTTTGGACGGACACGAGATGGGGACCCTTGGAGAGGTCCAGCACGGCCCTTCTGCTGGATGAGGGGTGGCTGGGTGGGGCATCGAGTGGATGGAGTGTGGCAGTGACTGGGGGTTGGGGGGCACTGGGCAAGGTGGACAGGGCACTCAGGGAGCCTGAGAGACCTCTGCCCCCACTGCCTGCTGGGCCAATGGTCGTTTGCCTTGCCAGGCTGGGGTGCAAGGGCACAGCACGGGAGACATCCTTTCATGGGGTTGAGACCCCTGGGCAGGGCGACGACAGTTGGCAGAGGCCCCTCCTGCAGGACCACCTGAGCCGCTTCAGCTGCCTCTGGAGGATCCTGAGGGTGGTGGCCGGGCCGGGGCCTGGGGACGAGCCTGGGGGCGGCCTGGGCTGCTCACACTCCGTCCTGTTGCTCCCCAGAGGGCAGAACGCGCAACCATGGCCACAACGTCTGCAGCACCTGGGGCGACTTCCACTACAAGACCTTCGATGGCGACGTCTTCCGCTTTCCCGGCCTCTGCGACTACAACTTCGCCTCGGACTGCCGTGACACCTACAAGGAGTTTGCTGTGCACCTGAAGCGGGTCCCGGGCCACGAGGGGGGCAGCCCCCAGGTCAAGTACATACTGCTGACCGTCAAGGACGACACGGTCTACCTCACCCCCAAGCTGGCTGTGCTGAACGGGGCCATGTGAGTGTGGTCAGGTGGCGTCCCGCCCACATCCTAGAAAGGGGGCCCTGTGGCTCCTGTGAGCAAGCAGGAGCCTGGCCAGCCCCTACAAGCCCCTCTCCACCCCAGCACAAGGCTAAGGAGAGCACTGGGGTTTGAGTTCAGGTCATTGATTCATTCAGCAAACACTGATGAGCCCCATGGGTGAAGGACCGGGGAGGGGGCCTTATTTCTCCCACAGTCTTACAGCTCCATGGCTCGGAGCCCACCAGGCTCTGGGCATGTGTGGGGGACAGGTGGCCATCCTGGTGGGGGAGGCCTGGCAGCCTCTGGGGAGGAGGCCCTGTGCCCTGCTGTGCCAGGCTAGAGGTACAGATGCCCTCCGGGGGAGGGCCTGTGGGGGCGCCCAGCCCACCACCCCAGCCTTCGTCCCCCATTGTGTCCGGAACAATGGAGCCTAAGTGCATTCCTGCCTGGCGGCTCCCCACCTGCAGGGTCCGCCCTCTCCCTGTGCCAGGGGATCTTGTTTCCCCTGGAGGCTGCAGCCCTGGCAGCCAGCCCCAGTCTCAGGGTGGGGGTGGGTACAGGGCCCACGGAGGCAGAGTTTGGGGTGAGCACAGAGCCTGGGCCCACCCTAGGTGGTGGATGGAGAAGCCCCTCCCCACTCTCAGGGCTGTCATGCGGCTCCTGCCCAGGACAGACCTAGAGGAGGGGGTGCAGAGACGGAGAACGGCAGGCAGGGTATGGCTTCCTGTGAAGGACCCCGGCCAGCACAGGTGGAGAGGGTCTCTGGTCACTGCTGAAGTCCCCCGAGAGGGAGGACAAGGCCTTTCATGACCACAGGGCCGGAGCTGGCCTGGCAGGGCTGGCTGAGAGGCTGAGGCCAGGCCACCCAGCCCACAGCCTCAGTGGCCTCTGTGTAGCGGAACCCCTGGGCCTGGCTGGGCAGGTGTGTGGGCTGGCTTGTGACCCTGGTGCACCCCCCAGGGTCAGCACCCCACACTACAGCCCTGGGCTGCTCATCGAGAGGAATGACGCCTACATCAAGGTCTTCTCCCGTGCTGGCCTCACCCTCATGTGGGACCGGGAGGACTCGCTCATGGTGGGTGCCACCCCAGCGCCACAGGGCCCTGGGGGCCGAGGGGACTCCATCAGACCTCTGGGACTCCAGGGCAGCAGAGGGGAGCCAGTGGTCCCATCCTCACCAAGAGGGGGGTCCAGGGTGGGCTGGGAGTGTTGAGCGGCCCCTGTCTGCTGGTGGAGAAGGCTGGCGGCAGAGGCGGGGCCACGCAGCCTACCCTGGCAGGGCACCTTGGGGGCTCGGGTGGTGGGCCAGCCCTCCCCATCTCCCAATCCCCTCCTGGTCCTCAGTGATGCCAGGACACCCCCTGGCTGATCCCAGCCCTCTTGCCACTCCTTTCAAACAAGTTGTGGGTGCTGCCTGGCCATGGCTGCTCACCTGCTCTCTTTTCCCGACAGCTGGAGCTGGACAGTAAATTCCAGAACCACACGTGTGGGCTCTGTGGGGACTACAACGGCCTGCAGAGCTACTCCGAGTTCCTGTCTGATGGTGAGGGCCTCCTCGGGGGCTTAGGGGGCAGGTGTGTGCAGACTCCCGGGTGCCCCTCGCTGACCGGCTGTGCCCCACCCAGGCCTGCTCTTCAGTGCTGTCCAGTTTGGGAATATGCAGAAGATCAACAAGCCCGACGTGGTGTGCGATGACCCCGAGGAGGGGCGGACCCCTGAGTCCTGCTCTGAGCACGTGAGTGGCTGGCCAGAGACCCCTGCCCAGGGGAGGAGCTGTTCCTGGGTGGGGACCCTATGGGAGCAGTGCCCACCCCATTCCCTAGAGGGCCCTGTGCCCGCTGGTCTCTGCTGGGGACCCCCGGCGGTGTGGAAGGGAGGAGGGTGTGAGTAGCCCCCGCCCACCACCCCTGTGTGCCCACCAGCGCGCTGAGTGTGAGAAGCTGCTGACAGCCGCGGCCTTCAAGGACTGCCTGGGCCTGGTGCCGCTGGAGCCGTACGTGCAGGCCTGTGCGCAGGACCGCTGCCAGTGCCCCTCGGGCGCCTCCTGTGTCTGCAGCACCCTGGCCGAGTTCTCCCGCCAGTGCTCGCATGCCGGCGGGCGCCCCGGGAACTGGAGGACTGGCACTCTCTGTCGTAAGCGCCACGCGCGTGAATCGGGAGGGCGGGGACCCAGGGGCACGTGAGGGATGATCCACCAATTCATAGGGAGCATTGAGGCCGGCAAGCCCAGGGCAGGGCAGCCTGGTGCCCTGGACAGCAGCCTCGTCTCTGCCCACCCTGGAGGCGGCCTCGGCTTTGGCATGGGAGACAAAAACCATCGGGGCCAGAGCCTAGAGCCCCCTGTGTGCACCCCACGAGCGGGCGCAGTCCCTCCAGCTCCCATGCCCACTGCCCTCCACGCTTGGTGTGAGTGCTGGCTCAGGGGCCGTCCTCTGCCCTTCTAGCCAAGAGCTGCCCCGGGAACATGGTTTACCTGGAGAGTGGCTCGCCCTGCATGGACACCTGCTCACACCTGGAGGTCAGCAGCCTGTGTGAGGAGCACCGCATGGACGGCTGTTTCTGCCCTGAAGGTGTGCGCTGGGCCACCCACGGGCGTGCGGGGGTGGGTGGGGCACTGCCCTGTTGCGGCCCACCCTTGCCGAGGGGCCCTGGGACCAGTGGCCTTGGGTTTTTGGCTGCACCTGGGGGACAGCCATGCTGGGACGGTGGTGCCAGGTGGTGGGGGGCAGCGATGGCACAGGAAGCGAGGCACGGTGCCCCCACTGAAATCGAGGGACGAGGAACAGGGAGAAAGGGCACAAATGCTGAAGTTCCCACCTCATTCACACACGATGACGGCTTCTGGGAGTCTGGGGGGAGGGAAGCCTTCCTGGTTGTCACCCCTCGACAGACCTCCTCCTGTCCGGCCCACGGAGCCTGGAGGACCCCAGAACGGGGCTGGACTCTCAGGCCCCCATGGCATGCCCCTGACCAGACACTGTGTGGGGACCATGGTGTCGCCCAAAGGACCAGAAGTGCTTGTGGGAGGGAGGCCTGGCTGGCAGCCCCCCCTCGGGGATTCCGGCATCTTCCTGAGGCTGTCCCACGGCTGTGGCTTTGGCAATGGCAGCCCCATTGTGGGGAATCTGGCACTTTCCGAGGCCAGTGAGTGTAACATCCCGCCCGGCGCTGTCCCAGGCACCGTGTACGATGACATTGCGGGCAGCGGCTGCATCCCCGTGAGCCAGTGCCACTGCAAGCTGCAGGGACATAAGTACGCGCCCGGCCAGCAGATCACCAAGGACTGCGAGCAGTGGTGGGTCCCGGGGGCTGGGGCTGGGGGCCGGATTGTAGAGGGTCCTGGGGATCTGGGCTGGAGAGCCGGCGGCCTAGGGGAAGCAGCTCGGACTGACCCTGGGCCCCACTGCCTGCAGCGTGTGCAATGCCGGCCGCTGGGTGTGCAAAGACCGGCCGTGCCCCGGGTCCTGTGCGCTGGAGGGCGGCTCCCACATCACCACCTTTGACGGGAAGAGGTACACCTTCCACGGGGACTGCTACTACGTGCTGACCAAGGTAGGTGGGCCCGGCAGGCAGGCACGTGTGGGGAGCTGGCTCTCCCTGCTCCCCTGCTCGTTCAGTGTCTCTGCCCTCCCCGCAGAGCGACCACAATGACTCCTACGCCCTCCTGGGCGAGCTGGCCGTCTGCGGCTCCACGGACAAGCAGACCTGCCTGAAGACGGTGGTGCTGCTGGCCGACAAGAAGCAGAACGTGGGTACCCCGCCCCTGCCCTGCCGGCACCCCCGGGGGCTCCATGGCCCTTAGCCCCACCGTCCCTTGGCCTTTCCCTCAGGTGGTGGTCTTCAAGTCGGATGGCACTGTGCTCCTGAACGAGCTGCAGGTGAACCTGCCCCACGTGGCAGGTGAGTCCTGCTCAGCGGCCCTGTTGGTTGGGGTGTCCCCCTGCAGCACCAGACCCTCTTGCTGAAGATGGTGGTCCCGGGGTGGGCCTGCCGAGCAGCCCCTCTCTGCTCCTCACTGCCCCTCCCCTCTCCACCTGGCAGCGAGCTTCTCCATCTTCCAACCGTCCTCACATCACCTCATCGTGAACACTGCCTTCGGCCTCAGGCTGCAGGTCCAGCTGGTGCCGGTCATGCAGCTCTTCCTGACGCTGGACCAGGCCGCCCAGGGCCGCGTGCAGGGTGAGTGGCCCCGCCTGCTCACCCCACAAAGCCCCACGCAGGGCCTGCTGCGCCAGGCCCTTCCCAACCTGGTCCCTCGGCCCCTCAGGCCTCTGTGGGAACTTCAATGGCCTGGAGGGCGATGACTTCCAGACGGCTGGCGGGCTGGTGGAGGCCACGGGGGCGAGCTTCGCCAACACCTGGAAGGTCCAGTCGAGCTGCCCCGACAAGCTGGACTGGCTGGACGACCCCTGCTCCCTCAACATCGAGAGCGGTGAGGCAGATGGGGTTCCCGGTGGGACGTGGGGGTGGGTGGAGGTGAGATGGCCTGCCCCACTCGGGGCCCGCCTGCTGCTTTCTGCCAAATGTGTGGTTTATGGTGGCCCATGATGGCAGCCCACCAAGTGACCTGGCAGAGGTACTGGACCTGCCAATGGCTGGGTGGTGGCCCTCCTCCAGGGACTGGTCTGGTGCCATGACAGGATACCCTCCCTCCCACTTTGCTGCCTTTTGCGTCCCAGGAGGCAGAGAGGGTGGATGGTGGGCGCCCCTGCCTGGCACGGGGCTCTGTCCTGCGCTGAGTTGGCCTGGAGGGGGGACCGGCTCAGTCCACAGTGGGTACAGTGTCTGCTCCAGCCTGGGCCACCAAGCAGCCAGACTCAGGGCACTTGCTGGAGGGGCCACCCCTGAGGTTCTGACCGGCCTCTGCAGCCAACTATGCCGAGCATTGGTGCTCCCTGCTGAGGAAGACGGAGTCCCCCTTCGGCAGGTGCCACTCGGTTGTGGACCCGGCCGAGTACTACAAGGTGGGTGGGACCCGCACCTGCACTCCCCAGCCCCTGGTCTGTGACAGGAAGGTGTGCCTGGTGCCCCTGGCTGAGCCTGACTGGCTGCCTGTGAGGCTCCTGCTAGGGGCTGCTGAGTGTGTGTGTGTGTGTAAGCATGTGTGTGAGTGTGCATACATGTATTGTCTCTGTGCACAGGTGTATGTTTGTGTACATGTGTGTGTGGGCATGTGTGAGTGTGTGTACGGGTATGCGTTTATACGTGTGGAAGTGGGAGTTTAAGCGTGCTCACGTGTGTATATGTGTGGGTGCACATATACTAGTACGTGTCCGGGAGTGCTTGCACACGTGTATGAGTTCCCAAGCCCAGCTCCCTCCCTCACTGCCCTGCCTCGGTTTATCCCCAGAGGTGCCTGTACGACACGTGCAACTGCCAGAACAATGAGGACTGTCTGTGCGCCGCCCTGTCCTCCTACGCCCGTGCCTGTGCCGCCAAGGGCGTCATGCTGTGGGGCTGGCGGGAAAACATCTGCAGTGAGTGCTGTCCCCTGCCGGCGTCCTGGGCTCGGGGTCCTGGCTTCTCCATGGGGCAGGGGGCTGGCTTCAGCCTTTGTTCAGCCACTGTCCCCGGTGGCAGCTCACCCTGAGTCCAGGGAGAGGGATCGGTCCACCACAGGCAGGTGACACGGTTTCCAGCTTCCTCTACCCGGAAGGCGGGAAACCGGCGCTCGGCTGCTCCCCGCTTGCGGGGAGGGGTCCGAACTGTGGCCGCTGCCAGTTTGCCTGGACAGGGAGGCACGTGTGGTGGGGCACCTGTGCAGCCAGGGCGGCCCCAGGATGACAGCTCTGCTGGCCGCCTGCGGGGACGTGGCTGGGGCCGTCCCTTGCGCCCTCACGCTGGCCCTGCCCCTCTGCAGACAAGGACGTGGGCTCCTGCCCCAACTCGCAGATCTTCCTGTACAACCTGACCACCTGCCAGCAGACCTGCCGCTCGCTGTCCGAGGCCGACGCCCACTGCCTCCAGGGCTTCGCGCCCGTGGACGGCTGCGGCTGCCCCGACCGCACCTTCCTGGACGAGAAGGGCCGCTGTGTGCCCCTGGCTAAGTGCTCCTGCTACCACCGAGGCCTCTACCTGGAGGCGGGGGAGGTGGTCCTGAGGCAGGAGGAGCGGTGGTGAGTGGCCTGGGGCCTGGAGGGAAGGATGGCACGGGGGCGGGCAGGGCCAGCTCTACCTGGGGGAGCCACCATCCCCGCCCCGCCCCACAGAGTCTCTGGGCCTGTCCCCAAAGGGCCCCATTCACCTCCCACTCTCCCTGCAGCGTGTGCCGGAACGGGAGGCTGCACTGCATTCCAGTCAAGCTGATTGGCGAGAGTAAGTGAATGCGGCCTGAGCCTGGCCCCCTGCCCCCTGCCCCCTGGCCCTTGGCCTGCTCCCCCTACCCCCTCTCCATTCTGCCTGAGCCCGCCAGCCATCAACTTCAGCTGAGCTGGGGTGGTCCCTCTGTCGGCAGCCTGCAAAGCCCCTAAGATCCACATCGACTGCAACAACCAGACCGCGCTGACCATCCGGAACCCCCATCCCCTCAGCTGCCAGACGCTGGCTGCAGGCTACGTGAGTGCTGGGACCACCGTGGAGGGGAGGGTCGAGCCGTTGTGCCCGTGGAGGGGTGGGGTGTAGCTGGGGCAGCCTTGGCTCCTGCCCTGACCCTGAGGCTGCTGTGCCAGGTCCTGAGGACCCATGAGGCTTGCTGACCCCTCCTGTCCCTGAGGCCTGGTGGTGGCCTGCAGGCCCCGCTTAGCCTGCCGGAGTCACAGGGGCCAGACTAGGGGCCCCTGGCAGGCAGCACTCACGTGTCTCCCTGCCCAGCGGTGGAGGTGCCCAAGGTGGAGGCGATCCAGGGGTGGGCCAGACAGAGGGATCAGGGGTCGGGGGAGGGGGAGGGACACAAGAGGAGTCTGCAGGGTCAGAGGAGGGGCCAGGCAACGGCAGCCAAGATCCCGGGCCTGGCATCTAATGCCTGAACCCCGCTCCGCCGCCACCCCACAGTACCAGACAGAGTGTGTGAGCGGCTGCGTGTGTCCCGAAGGGCTGATCGACGACGGCCGAGGCAGCTGCGTTGTGGAGGAGGACTGCCCCTGTGTGCACAACAAGGGCTTCTTCTCCCGCGGGGACAAGATCAAGGTGGACTGCAACACCTGGTGAGTGGCCTGGCCCGGCTGCCCTCCAATTGGAGCGTGTCCTGCAGGCCAGGCCGAGGGTCGGGGTTGCTCCCCATGGGGCCAACCGGGTCCTGCAGGGCCACGTGGCCCTCCACCTGGTGGGCAAGCCCCAGGCCAGTATCGGAAGGGCGCTGGGGTGGCACTTGCTGGGCTGGTGCGGGTTTGCAGGCATCGTGCATGAGCTGCCTGTGGAGGTGTCTGGACTGTGCCCTGGCCTCGCCCAAGCCACCCTCTGAACAGGGCTGTGAGGCCCTGGGCCCTGTGGCGCCTCCAGTCCCCTCTCCTACTCTCCTCAGTACCTGCCAGAGAGGACGCTGGGCGTGCACCCAGTCTGTGTGCCACGGCACCTGTGTCATCCACGGGAGCGGCCACTACATCACCTTTGATGGGAAGTACTACAACTTCGATGGACAGTGCTCCTACGTAGCCGTTCAGGTGAGGCCAGGGCACCCCCAAGGCCTGCACCCACTTGCGTCTTTGCTCTGCTGGTCCTGAGCTCTCAGTGGAGGCTCCTGTGGGTATGAGGGGCCAGCCCTTCCTCCACCCTCCCATCCAGTGACCCTCCCTCGGGTGCATGGTGGGTGTGGGTGTGCATTGAAGGCACTGGAGGTGGGTGAGGTCCCTCATGTGGCATGGTTATCCCCTCTCGACAGAGGAGGGGCTGAGGCTCAGCTGGGGTGGGGCTCCCGGGGGGGGTCACCTATGGCCTGGCTGGCCTGGCTCATACCCCACTGTGGGCCCCCAGGACTACTGCGGCCAGAACTCCTCGCTGGGCTCCTTCAGCATCATCACTGAGAATGTCCCGTGTGGCACCACGGGCGTCACCTGCTCCAAGGCCATCAAGATCTTCATCGGGGTGAGTGCTGCCCATCCCCAGGGATGTGAGGGTCCTTGGGGACCCTTGGACCTGGCCAGTGACCGGGCCTCTCCCCTGGGCACAGAGGACAGAGCTGAAGCTGGAGGACAAACACCGCGTGGTGATCCAGCGCGACGTGGGCCACCATGTGGCCTACACCACGCGGGAGGTGGGCCAGTACCTGGTGGTGGAGGCCAGTGTTGGCATCATCGTCATCTGGGACAAAAGGACCACCATCTTCATCAAGCTGGCCCCCTCCTACAAGGTACGCAGCCTCCCCTGCCCACGAGGCCTCTCCAGGGCTGGTCCTGCACGCACACCGGGCCTCCCAGGCACAGCGGGGCCGTACCCCTCCCTCCCTCGAGCCCCCTCACGAAGCCCCCGGGTCGCTGGTCTCTGCAGGGCACTGTGTGCGGCCTGTGTGGGACCTTTGACCAGCGCTCCAACAATGACTTCACCACTCGGGACCACATGGTGGTGGAGAGCGAGCTGGATTTCGGGAACAGCTGGAAGGAGGCCCCCACCTGCCCGGACGTGAGCGCCACCCCCGAGCCGTGCACCCTGAACCCACACCGCCGCTCCTGGGCCGAGAAGCAGTGCAGCATCATCAAGAGCCCGGTCTTCAGCGCCTGCCACAGCAAGGTGGGGTGGGGCGCGAGTGGCGGGCACGGGAGAGGCCGGGCGCGGGCAGCATCTACCCGCCTGGTGTGCACACTGGGAGTCAGTCGGTTGTTTCACCTCTAGCTTCAGCGCCTCCTCTGTGTCCTTTGGACTCACGACCAGAGGTCCAGCTTTCCCTCTGAGAACTCTGGCTGGACCCCCAGCCTCCTGTACCTTCCAGGATGGAGAAAGGGCACACAGCTTCTAAGACCCGATGGTCCTCAGCTCCAAGCAGTGGGGGCGAGGGAGCAGGTGCAGGGCGGCCCGTCTTACGGCAGAAGACCCTGGGGTCCTGAGGGTCTGTGTGGCCAGAGTTGGCCAACCATGTCTAGACCTCACCTGTCAGCCCCACTGGAGGCCTGGGAAGCTAAGTGCTGGGTGACGGCCCCTTGTCCCAGGAGTGGGGCTGGCCTCGTGGTCCTGAGGTCCTCTGGCCGCAGGGGGAGGCCTGGCCTCATGGAGCAATATGGGCCCAGGACACATGGTGGCTTCTCCCCTAGGTGGACCCCACGCCCTTCTATGAGGCCTGTGTCTACGACTCGTGCTCCTGCGACTCGGGCGGCGACTGCGAGTGCTTCTGCTCTGCCGTGGCCACCTACGCCCAGGAGTGCACCAAGGAGGGGGCCTGTGTGTTCTGGAGGACGCCAGACCTGTGCCGTGAGTGTCCGCCCGTCCTGGGCCTGGGTGCCAGTAGGGTGGGTGGCGCTCCTTACCCCTGCAAGGGATGGGGTGTATGTGGTCCCCTGCCTGCCTCCCCCAAATCAAGGATCCAAGTGTCCTTCCTTGGGGCCACTGTGCTGCCTGGGGTGGCAGGAGGGAGCTGGCCCCTCCCGGCCTGTCCCCCGACCTGGCCTCGGCACTCGCCGAGTCTGACCTCAGCTCCCTCCTCCCCAGCCATATTCTGTGACTACTACAACCCCCCGCATGAGTGTGAGTGGCACTACGAGCCTTGTGGGAACCACAGCTTCGAGACCTGCAGGACCATCAATGGCATCCACTCCAACATCTCCATGTCCTACCTGGAGGGTGAGTGGGGCCTCCTGGGGAGCAGTGGCCTGGCTTGCCCTGCTGTCCTGGGGCCAAAGGGCAGTGTCCTCTGTAGACCCTTGGGGTCACCCTGAGAGAGGTTCTGTGGGGGCTGGGGACCCTGAGTCCCAGGGTGGGCCAGGTTCACCTTCTGCAGAGTCTGTTTGTTGATTTCACCGTGGGCTTGGAGACTGAGCTATGACCCCGCCCTGTGAGGGGGAGGCAGAAAAGAAGCAGGTTAACAGGCACCGGGTGTTGTCAGGAGCAGAGAGTGCTATGGGGACCTGCAGAGCAGGACGAGGGGGAGGGAGCTTTCAGAGGTGGGTCTGGGAGGCCTCTCCAGGGCCTTTGAGCTGAGAACCAGCGACATGAAGGACTGAGCCGTGAAGTCTGGGGAGGGAGCCTCCTACCTCGTGGGAGGGACGATATCAGGTCAGGGGCCCAGGGTGCAACCCTGGAGGCTGGGCAGGGCCTGCCTGTCCCTCAGCAGGTGGGCAGGACCTAGCTGTCACTTTGGCCATGTGGCAGTGTGCAGGGCCCAGCTGGGGGGATGCAGGTCCCTGCCTTTCCAGTCCCTGGCCTTTCCATAGGTACATCCTGCAGAGAAGGACCTGCCAGAGTGGGGCCCATGGGTGGGGTCTGGTGGACGTGGGGTCCTCCACCATGGTCCAAGCCCTTTGCCCTGTGCCCCACTAGGCTGCTACCCCCGGTGCCCTAAGCACAGGCCCATCTATGACGAGGACCTGAAGAAGTGCGTCAGAAGAGACCAATGTGGCTGCTATATCGAGGACACCCACTACCTACCTGGAGCGTCTGTTCCCACGGATGACATCTGCCAGTCTTGGTACCTAGGCTCACATCATAGGGGACATGGGGGAGGGCAGCACATACATAGGCACACGCACACGTGCTCACATGCATGTGCCTGTGACACGGCCACACACACACCTACAGGTGCACATGTACCCACGAGCATTCACATCCATGCATCCACGCACAGGCACACAACATGTTCACGTACACAGAAGTGGACACAACACACATGCTGTCACACACGCACACCTCTGGGTCACACGTGCATGGATGCACATGCACACACTCACACACAGGAGCCACGGCGTGGGGACCAGCCTCCTTCTGGGGAAGAGGCAGGCCTTCCTTCTTGGCATCCCTTCTGCATCCAACTTTTGCCTGCCTCGCCTTGTCCCAACTCTGCACAGTTAACACGGGTGGCTCCTCTGGGGTGGGTCTTCGGGGCAGTGCCCAGGGCTTTGGTGGGCCTGAGGTGCGTGGCCACAGGGGTTGGCATCGGGTGCGTGGTTGCAGGGGGCGTGGCCTCAGGGTGTGGCAGGGAGGGTGGAGCCTGGGGAGAGGTGACTTTCCTCCTTTCCTGGGGTCTGAAGCTCTAGCACTTCCCTTCCAGCATGTGTACCGACTCCTCGCAGGTCATCTGCCAGCCCGAGGAAGGTAAGCTGCCCTCTGCGGCTGGCCCTGAGGCGGAAGGCCGGGCCCCACTCAGAAGAGCCCGCGGCTGCCCTGTCCCTGGACCCTGGATGCTCAGTCTCCTCCTCTGCCGCGTGGACCCCGGGGGCCCTTCCAAGCTCAGAGCTGCCTGATGGGCAGCAGCCCCTTGGGGCTCACATCCTGATGCTCCCCGTGGCAAATGCCCTCCTGTGACCCAGCTTCTCCGTCCTGATGGGGGTGCTTAGGGTTCTGGGGTGGGGTCCCGATGGGGCATTGGTTTGCCGCTTGCTAGAGACAGGGGACAGCGCACCTTTCCCTTCTTGGGACAAGCTGGGGGTTTCTTGTGAGTCTTGCTCCCAAAGTGTTGACGTCAGCCTCGCTCCCATCCCCCAGGAAAGATTCTCAACTACACCCAGGACGGCTGCTTCTGCTACTGGGAGCTATGTGGCCCCAATGGGACGGTGGTGCAGCACTTCAACACCTGTGGATGCCCCCCTACACCCTCAACCTCCTCCACACCCATCAGCACGACCCCTGTCCCCTCCACCACCGCCACCACCACCACCATCATGACAACCACCCCCACCTCCAGCACAGGTGAGGCCCCCTTTCCTCCTGGGGCTCCTGCCTCCCCTGCACCCTGAGTCCAGCAGCAAAGGCCCTTCCAGGGGCAGGAGCACAGCTGGCGTGTCAGCTGTCACCTCTGTGCACAGGCGGGGGGTCTCGCTGACATGCCTCTCAACTCAGGAAAATGTCCCCTGGGCCCTCAGCCTTGGGAGTTGAGATGCCTGTGTCACGACCACCCTCCCGAGCCCCAACCACAGTGAAGGCGACTTGGGGACATTTCCAAAAACCAGCAAGAAAATATCCCAAGGGTTGAAGAAAGCAGAGGAATGTCCTTCAATTCCTCTGCATTTGTTCTGGTGGAAATTGTAGCTACCACTGGGCAAGCCACCAGGGGTATGACAGCCACAGGAAAAAGAAACACATAAAAATTTAGAAAGATTTTAAAAAGTCTTGAGCTGTGTAATGACATCATCTTTCTTCTTTTTTTCCACATTACTGCAGGTTCATCTACCACTTCAACTCCGCGTAAGTCCCGTGGATGGTACTTCCGGGTGGGAGATGGGGTGAGGGGGGCAGGTCACATAAACGAACTCTGAGGACATCCCTCGAGACCCGGATGTGGGGCCGGCTGGTGGGCCATCTGCTCACAGACTGAGATGGTGCATTTGGTGACTTATTTCCCAGTATTTTGAGTCCAGGGACTCACGCAGGGGGACTTGACCGGCTCTGGGTGACAACATGGTTGGTCAAGGGTTGAGACCAAGCCCCTTTCTCACTGAATGGGGGACCCTGTGGTTGTTAATTTTTGGGCACAAGAATTTGAAAATAGTGGAGGAGGGAGCGCTGGCCTGAGCCACAAGGCCTGGGTCCATCAGCGCTGGGGGCGCGGGGACTCTTCCCTCTCTGGGCCTCAGTTTTCCAGCTGCAAAAGATGGGTGGAAGTGGTGTCCAGCCCTAAACTCTCTGACCCTACAGCCGGGTCCTGGGGGATGACAGGGAGCCAGTCTAGGGTCTCTGACATCTCCGAGTCCCAGTGACCTCCCCGGCAGGCGCGCCCCCAGGCGTGGCTGACCAGCCCTGGGTCTGCTTCCCTAGCGCCGTGCTGCTTCTGGTCCGACTGGATCAACGAGGATCACCCCGAGACTCACGGCGACAGCGGGGACCGTGAGAGGTTCGACAGCGTCTGCCAGGCCCCTGAGGACATCGAGTGCAGGGCGGCCACGGAGCCCCAGCTCAGCTTGGAGGAGCTGGGCCAGAAGGTGCAGTGCAATGTGTCATTTGGGTTCATCTGCAAGAACGAAGACCAGTTTGGGGACGGACCATTTGGAGTCTGCTATGACTACGAGATACGTGTCCGCTGTTGCCTGCCCATGGAGGAGTGTCCTTCGACCCCAACCACGACCCCCATGACCACTACCATGATCACCGCGACCACCACCCCCAGCACAACCACCATGACCACCACCACAGAGACCACAACACCCACCACGAGCACTACTCCATTGACCTCCACCGCGAAGCCCACCACCACAACCAGAGAGACTACAACCCTTACTATGACCACCATCCCAGGATCCTCAACTCTGACCCCCACCATCACCACCACTACCACCACAGAGACCACAACACCCACCACAAGCACCACCTCAGGGGCCTCAACCCCAACCCCCACCATCACCACTACCACCACCACTGGGACAGAGACCACAACCCCCATCACGACCAGCACCCCAGGGACTCCAACTCTGACTCCCACCATCACCACCACCACCACAGGGACCACAACTAGCACCACCACCACCACCTCAGGGCCAACAACCCTGACTGCCAGTACCAGCATTACTGAGACCCCAAGCCCGACCCCCACCATCACCACCCACCATCACCACCCCAGGGACAACAACCCTGTCCCCCAGCACCAGCATCACTGAGACCTCAACCCCGACCCCCACCATCACCCCAGGGACAACAACCCTGGCCCCCAGCACCACCACCACACAGACCACAACTCCCACCATGACCACTACCCCAAGGACAACAACCCCCACTGCCAGCACCACAACCACAGAGAACACAGCCTCCACCACGACCGCCAGCCCAGGGCCAACAACCATGACTCCTAGCACCACCACCACTGAGACCCCAACTCCGACCCCCACCATCATCACCACCATCCCCACAGAGACCAAAACGCCCATCACGAGCACCACCTCAAGGACCTCAACTCCTACCTCCGACCATCATCACCACCATCAGCACAGAGACCCCAACACCAACCCCCACCACGATGACCACCGTGCCCACGAGCTCTATCAGCACTGTGTGTGAGGATGACTGCCAATGGACTGGCTGGCTGGATTCTGGTAAACCAAATGTTACCGAACAAGGTGCAGACATCGAACCCATCGGAGATGTCTGTGGAAGAGGCTGGGTGGCCAACATCTCCTGCAGAGCCCATATGTATCCAAACCATCCCATCGAACAGCTTGAACAAACGGTGGTTTGCGACACGTCAGTTGGACTGGTGTGCAAAAACCAAGACCAGAAGCCTGGGGGAGTCATCCCCATGCCTTACTGCCTCAACTATGAGATCAACGTCTACTGCTGTGGGTTGTGTCTCTCCACACCTTCCCCCACGACCCCAGAGACCTCAACCCGGACCACGACCATCAGCACCACCACCACCACAGAGACCACAACACCCACCACCAGCACTACCCCATTGACCGCCACCCCGAGCCCACCACCACGACCAGAGAGACTACAACCCTTACTATGACCACCATCCCAGGATCCTCAACTCTGACCCCCACCATCACCACCACTACCACCACAGAGACCACAACACCCACCACAAGCACCACCTCAGGGGCCTCAACCCCAACCCCCACCATCACCACTACCACCACCACTGGGACAGAGACCACAACCCCCATCACGACCAGCACCCCAGGGACTCCAACTCTGACTCCCACCATCACCACCACCACCACAGGGACCACAACTAGCACCACCACCACCACCTCAGGGCCAACAACCCTGACTGCCAGTACCAGCATTACTGAGACCCCAAGCCCGACCCCCACCATCACCACCATCACCACCCCAGGGACAACAACCCTGTCCCCCAGCACCAGCATCACTGAGACCTCAACCCCGACCCCACCATCACCCCAGGGACAACAACCCTGGCCCCCAGCACCACCACCACACAGACCACAACTCCCACCATGACCACTACCCCAAGGACAACAACCCCCACTGCCAGCACCACAACCACAGAGAACACAGCCTCCACCACGACCGCCAGCCCAGGGCCAACAACCATGACTCCTAGCACCACCACCACTGAGACCCCAACTCCGACCCCCACCATCATCACCACCATCCCCACAGAGACCAAAACGCCCATCACGAGCACCACCTCAAGGACCTCAACTCCTACCTCCCCATCATCACCACCATCAGCACAGAGACCCCAACACCAACCCCCACCACGATGACCACCGTGCCCACGAGCTCTATCAGCACTGTGTGTGAGGATGACTGCCAATGGACTGGTGCTGGATTCTGGTTAAACCAAATGTTA